ATCTCCTTGCTTTGTGCCCAAAGCTCCTGTATGCACGCTCCTGCCAACCCCATTCTCTCTTCTCTTCCATCAGTTCCTGCTCTTTAATAAAGTCACTCACACAACAGTGTAATTCCCTGACAATGGCTTTATTTTTTTTACTTATTTCTGGTGCATGTGCGTTTTAAAGCATGTCAGTAATTAAAGAAATAAACAATTGCCTTCTCTTTTTTATTTTAGGAATGATTCTAGTTTTATCATGGTACAAAGGTGTCTAGCTTTGGCAGCTGATAAATATATAATTTGTGATTTGTGACTTTTGCTTTTATCATTCAGTATTTTCTTTGAAGTGTAAGGAGAGCTCTGTTTTCTTATGTTTGCCAAATGAAAGCAATGAGGGTGATAGGAGCAAACCCGTCCTTCCTACCTGGAGCACATCCTTGTGGTTTTATGAGTCTCTGACAACATCTCAATGTCTACCACACCACGTGCTCTATAATTAAAATCAGATCCGCGTTTCAGCAACCTGAGTGTTCTCTGGGTTTGGGACGGGACACTTTGATCTATGCTCCTGTATCAGGATGAGGAGAAGGGTGTTTTTAAGCTTCTAGGTACGGCCGGTTCAAAATGATGCCATTAATTCTATGGAAACAATTAGAGCCTCCACAAGGATAAAGCTGCTCTATGCATCAAAGATAGTCTATGACATTATAATTGTTAAAATATTCAAAAATCCACCTGATGAAGAAAAGAAATTGAGACTTCTTACTGCTCTTCTTCTAAGCTGTACTTCTCTTTTAAAATCTGCTTTTAAAATAACCGCTCTCTTAAGTGTCATATCATAATATAATTACATAATCAGGACTTAGGTCATCTGATTTCTCCTTGCCTCTAGGCACTGAAGTGAGTTTTACATAAAGGATTCCTGACACACTAGAAGTTGTTCCTCCAGCTCTCAGTGGAGACTGGCTGTCCTTTCCTTGCTGACTACAGACATTATCTACATGTGGCCTAATCTCCACTTCAGTGATCTGAGCTACCTCCTGGCTCTGTGTCCTCAGGAGAGAGGAATAATCACTATTTTTTTAAAGATTTTATTTATTCATTTCGACGTGGGGCGCAATCCCAGGACACAGAGATCATGACCTGAGCCTAAGGCAGACACTTAACCAACTGAGCCACCCAGGCGCTCCAGGAATAATCACCATTGATCAAGACCTCTAATGTGCAAAAGCTACCACTCAGGTAAGTGAAAATCATCCAGTTTTTACTAAAATAAATCAGAAATCTATTATAACATATAAAAGTATCTAGACACAGAATTCAGCTTAATCTCACAATGAGATACGGATATGAAGAGCAGATTTAATGTACTCTTGATCATAGGAAGATCCGAACTAAGCTGCTTGCCTAAAACCTTGATCTTCCCACCACACCTCCCAGCTACTAATGATTATTATTGTCAAAGTTACTGAGTCCTTAAATTAAATGTAATAGGAAGTTAGAGATGGTTTCCATGTTTTCATAATACTGTTTGATATTATTTCTAAAATTTACCTTCTTTTTGAGTATCTGCTTATAATGTTTTTCAGTGACAATAATCCAAAATAATGTCCATAGTTCTTCCTAAATTTAAGAAATGAGTAATGGAGAAAGTTGAAAGAAGGAAAATAGGTCCTTGTTTCTGCGTTTCCATCTACAATAGCAATGAATGGTCATATCTTTCAGGCTTTGGTTGAAAAGGCAAACAAATTACAACTCCAAAAAAAAAAAAAAAAAAGATTGATGAGTGTTTATATTCTGCTCCCTTAAAAGAAATATCCAGAAATCATAAAATGACACAAATATTTTAACTCATTTTTATTTGGGGGGCTACTTGGAACTATTTTATCTAAAGTGATATAAGGCCCATTACACTTAACTGCATACACAGGAACATTGTGTGTGGCAATTGTGTGTGTGCTCACTAAACAAAAGCTCTGTGAGGGCAGACACAATGTCCACTTTGCTGAATGGCATTCTCTGTGTACATAACAGGTGATCACAAAGTATATGCTAAATGAATCTGTGGGAGGTCGCAATAAGGCTTGAGGCAAGGACCAAACCAGGCCCCGACTTGTGCCTCCTTTCAGGTCCGAATAACCTAACAAAAGATTTAGGACGGGAAAAGTTGAGTAGCACTGAGAAAGGGTCTGCGCTATGTGTTGTGCGCTCGCCTACGTGACTTCCCACACGCTTGCTAAACAAATGAGAACAATTCGGTTGGGGTCAAAAGTTCGTTGCTGGTCCTTGCTGCCCTAGTACTGCTCATAAATTACTTTCAGGTTTGCTGTATCAATGCAGGACAATTGTACTAGCACCAGCCGTTTGGCGTCACAAGGTCTGCTTATAGTCAATGGTGAAACTTATTATGAGAACTCGTGGGTGTTTAACTAGACACAGGTATATTGCTTCTCCTATCACTCTATATATGGCCTTAATGCTTTGAATAAACTTAGCACTGTTGGACATCCTCCACAGTGCTCCTCCTGCCCCCATGTCTCTGCGTCTCAAGTTCTTTTCTTCATCCTCTTACCCTCGCGTTCCTGGTCGATTTGTCACGCCGGCCGTGACATGAATCTATGTGAAATGAGCTTCCAAATAGAAAAACATATTTGATATACGTGGGGCCATGACAAAGTCCTTGCAGGCCTCCAACTAGAGGAGAGTAACCGACCTAGGGCCCTCTGAAACCTATCTTTATATTTGGGCCGAGGCCATGCCTCCTGTGGGTGGCTCCCAGTGGTGGCTGATCACAGCAGGGATTCCTAAAGCAGGCTCATTCTTGGGAAACAGGAGATTCTTCTGACGGCTGGCTGACTCAAGGGCTCCCCAAAGACTGCTCAAACCTTTTGATATGACACAAACTTCCAAGATCCTTCTTTTTCATTCTCTTTTCTTCATTAGGAGGCACAGTTGCATGGCCATCTGATGGCTCTCCACTCTTGACCAGCTCCCACCTCACTTTCTTTTTTATAAGTTGTTCCCTGAATAAAATCCTCACATGGGTGATTTTGACTTTGTGACTGCTTCTTGGAAGACCCAGTCTAACGTAATAAGAAACTCTAAGATTGAACAAATCTCTGGAAAATTAACAGCTCCATTTTTGCATCTATTTTACTATAAATTAATATACTATATTAAAATATAATAATATACTACATACATTTAATTGTAAATTCATATGCCACACCAAATTTGACCATAAATTATTATTCTCCTTTGAATTACAAATGACTTGAATAGGGGATTAGTCCTTGGTCCCTGGTCAAGATCCTAACCTTAGGTACACGCCATATAAATTCTTACCTATACTTTTAGGAGAAGAATTGATTCAGACTATAAAGTTCATTGCTAAATCTGGACTTTAATCTTATTTTTCAGTATGAATCATATGCATTTTAATAATATGCTATTCTTGAATAAAAACATTAACATCTTTAATTCCCTACTAATCTCCCTCCTCATTTACAAAAAGGGAAACAAATATTTATATAATGAATGTTATTATTTTACTGTTTGATTAATACAATCCTCCTAATAGAATGCAGATAAGTTTCCCAACTGTTTTATAATATATTTAACATATTTCTACTCACAAAAGGTATTTTCATCAGCAACTGTGGCATTAAATTTGAAGATTTTATTCTTCAAAAATATGATTGTATTAACATTATGCATGACTGTTAAAATTTTCTATCTTGTATTTTCCATTTTTATGTAATGCCTCATCTCAGACCCTGCTAGACTGAGGAACTCTTGAGATCAGGATTTGTTATATTTATTTGATTTTTTTATTGCTATAGTTGAATTTACATAATTTACATGATGATACTCACTTGGAATTTTTCAGATAAGCTTCCAAATATCTAAGAAGTACTTTGCACACGTCCACTCTAGCATACTGAGAGAACATTGCAACTCATATTTCCCGTTTGTTTGCAGAATGAGAGCACACAATTTCGGTGCTCATCATAGTCCTAGAAAACCTATACATATTCATAAATTTAACTATTAACCTTCTCAAGGACCAATATTTTGATCACTCACCCACGGGTTTAATCAAATATTTCTCAGAATTCTGAGATTATGTTCAGGAAATGTAAGGAATAATTAGTCAAGGTACAAATAACTGAAGAGTTCAAAAAATAAAAGATTCCATTTACCGTCCGAGCGGAAATATTCCAGGCTAGCATTAAATATCAATCAAGAGATGAACATTGGACTACAAGGGGTCCCCACCCCCACCAAATCATGTTAAGTATCACTCTTCTTTATAATTTACTTATAACTAAAAAGAAAACCCTTTCAAAATGTACTGCTCCTCTTTCCACTTAGTCCTTGTTGTTAAGTATAAAAAAATGTATATATATATATTTATGTTAAAATGGCAAGGGTATGCTTCTACTTGAGTGCTAGTATCAGAAGTAATTGGTGGATATAAATAATAACCACAAGACATTTAAGTAGACACCGGCTTCCAGCCAGAGTGGCGAGCTACTACCACCTTTCAACAAAGCAAAGAGGATCCAAGCGAGCACCTAAAGCAGATTCACAAACCTTGAAGAGAAGCCCCTGTTCTCCCCTCCCTTCTCTCTTAGGTCTAGTCCTGGTTTGATCATTAGATGACAGCCTGTGTATTTGGCAGGTGATTGATACACAGTCCGTTATTTCTACCTTTATTGTCTGATATTTTTGAAGTGTGAGAACAATATCATGTTTCATTATGTGGAGACCACAGTGGCATTATTGTCAAAGGACCATGCCTACTCAGCAGGAAGTCCCTGCACACAGTTACATAAACCCCTGAGAAGTTACTGGTTTTGCCTCGATTATCACTCATTTTGTACTCAAAATAAAACAGGGTATTTCTTTTGGCGTGATCAGTTTTTGTGTGGCCTATGTGCATGTGTACACACTTGGACTATGATACTTCTGATCTTTTTGTGTCATGATTAGGGGAACGTCGTGCCCTTACTTACCTAAAATCCTGCCCAGTACAAGAGACCTGATGGCACCGAATTCTGTACCTGATGACAGGTGGACTTGTCTCTTTGCATTCTCATCAATCTATAGAATTGTCATATGAGGTACAAACAGCCAGATGGATGCCATTTTGTTGGGAAGAGGACAAAAACCCACGGAAGACAAAAGAAAAATGGTAAAATAGGCAATTGTTAGTATGGCCCCAGAGATTATAAAAAACAAAATTTAAAGAGCCATTTACAAAGGTGAATGACTTTTTCTAAACCTCCTCTTCTACTCTCAGATAGCAGTGCACCCCATCTTCTATCCCCTTATAGCACTGTAATTTTCTCTACTATATGAGAAATCCAAAGCTCATAAAGCTAAAAAAAAAGATATGAGTTTTTTCACCTTGAAACTTTTACCAAGGTTGGTATTTTCACTTGAGTCATTCAGCTAAGACATCTTCCTCTGTGTAGAGGTCCAAAACTTTCATGCTTTTCTTTAAAACTGGTAGAATGAACAATTCTATTTGTTTCATGAGAGTAGTAATAGTTTTACTAGTTGTATGTATGATAAAATAGACAGCTTTCCCTCCTGAACGATGTAAAATAAATGAGGAAAATGTGGCATTTTGGGTATCAAATATTAATCATATCTTGGACAGAATCTTTATTATTTCAAAAACTAGACCACATTTGGCAGTCTGTCTATGGTCTGTGCCGGAGCAACACTGGAAGGACATCCTCAATCTATTCATTATCATAATTCTGCTGACAGTCCTTCATGCTGGGGAATCGTAATGGTAACCACCACTTCTCTTGAATTTATTATATTACCTCTACAAAGACCACTCCTTCTTCTCTGTTAATCTCTACATGGTGAAGCTGTCCATCCGCCATGTTTTTGAAATCAAAGTTAACGACATCAGGTTCTTGATATCTATTTAGCTTGTACCTGATCTGCAAACTTCCTAAAGTAGGGAAGAGAAGTTATATTTTTAGTTAAAATTATAGTTTAAAAGCTACTTTCAAAAACTCAGAGAGTATTCTTTTTAGCTTTCAATTTCTGGTGGGAAATTCACAGTAGCTTATTGGAGGTTTCCTTTCCTTATAATTCTTAGAAGTCAGCTTCTATGTTAAATTGCACTATTTTCAAGATCAAGACCAAGCATGTTGCCAACAAGTAGTCTTTCCTGCAAATCTTCAACTTTTCCCCTAGAAGTCAGATATGCAGTTAAGCATAAGCAAATCTCTATACTAGCCTTTAATTTAAAAAACACACCTTCGTATACTTTGAAATGCCAAACTGTTGTGGAATATTGCATTAAGTGCTTCCATAATCTCATCTTTGAAAAATATACATCTGCCACTCCTAAAATGCAATTGATTAACGGAATTTTTATAAGCAAATGGAGTTTTACTAAAGACGAAAAATATTTTCACATGGTCACAGTCATAGATTTTGGAATGAGATTAGGATGAAATCAATGGTTTTTGGCCAAACTTACCATGAGAATTAATATCTCACTTAGCTGCCTCAAAGATGTCAATTTATTTCACAAGGTAGCTCCAATTTAGCCAAGGAAATATCCTAATGTATAGATAAGCTTCAAGCTCAAAAGATAGACAGTGAATGTAAATATACTTATTCAACAATATTATTTTTATTTTAGTGTTCTGTGCCCTTGGGCCATATTTATTTGAGTTGAAATGATACATTCAAGTTTATAAACTTATTTTCCTCACTCAGATAATTTATATATGGAATTTTTATCTTTAATCTGGATATAGAGAGGAGAAAAAAACATCAGCAGTGACAAGGCTTCTGTAATATACACATGTCCTAATCCACAAGCCCTTGCCCTGCACTGATGAACCAGCATTTCCCATGACAATTTCATTGCTGACCATTAGAACCAACAGATTACTTTGTGGATCTTCTCCTATATATAATGTTAGGTTGTTAACATTCCCTCAAAATCTTTCTACTTTTAATTGAAGGAAGTATTTACTATATACAAATAGGCATCTTCTTTCAAAATGAACCATAAAATTGAGACTGATAGTATACGGAATAGTAAAGAGCTTCTAGCAATAATAAAATATGATAAGTATTTTATAGAAATAAAAAATGAACACTGAATATGTGAAATTACCAAATTATAACAAGCTAAAGCTATCTTAAAATGTTAAATAGTCCTCTTAGATTAAATTTATAGTACAGTACTGAAAAACAAAATTGAATACAAAAAACAGGCACACTTTTCTTCCTGTTTGTAGTTTGAGAGGCAAGAACATGAGAACAATCCCTATTATTACTAATCTAATGTTCTAATTCAATTTTCTCTCTCTCTCTCTCTCATCAAAAAAGCACTCACCATTTTTGGCAATGATAACTGAAAGGTATTCTTTATAAAAGGAGCTCACATAAAGCAGTAAGCTTGGTGCTCGTGTTGTTCGAAAGCTAAATTTGATCATTTCTCTGCTCAGCTTCATATCGCCATGAAATGAAGCAGCGTGGGAGCTGGAATTTTTATTTAAGGAATAATTTTCTTGAAAATTGTAAATCACAGATGAGCCAGATCCAAAATATGCAGAAATCTCTGAAATGATACACACATTTATGTTAAAAATTAAGTACAAGGATCTTGTTTCAGTTATATTGATGTTTTTAATTAAAAATAACAAATTGTATAGATAAAACAAATAGCTCCAAACCAGAACTAAATAACAAAGAAAGTTAATAGAACTTTTATGATGGTCCTTGAAATGGCTTTATGTTAGAATTATATGTAATTAATTTGCTAGTTAACCTTATAATTGAAAGCATAATGTCCTCCACTCTGACTTCAGACATAAACCAGGTTTTTTGGCTTTTTTCTCTCTTGCCAACCATTTTCTTATTTAAATTTTTAGTCCCATCTATTACTTTGTAGATAGAATACACTAGTCTTCCTGTAACAGGAAGGAAGTTTGAGGGGTCCTCTTACCTTCCAGGATCAATAGGCAGAAATGTTCCTTTTAACCTGAACACTTCCCCCTATTTATTGTGCCTTATGAAAAGAAGCTAAGTCCAGCGTTCATGTAAGAGAGGGCAGCAGCATCTGTGTAGCGGCGATCAACACAAGGAACTATCCAGCCTCTTTTAGTTTTACAAAAGTGTAGTACTTTACTTATATGAGACAAATATCCCAAATTCACACACACATGCATGTGCATGCACACACACACCACGTATTTTTTATATATGTATGAAAATGAGGAGGATACTGGAGGAATAATTAGAGTTGGATCCTTGAACTCTACTTCTCTCCATTACTATAAAGTGGAACCAGTTGTGGAATGTGAGTTGTAAATGATGCTCACAGGGTGACACAGCAACATTTCCATTCCCTCGGCACTTGAAGAGTGTTTTTGTTTGCTTGTTTTATTATTTTTATTATCTGCAACACACTTTTTGTATGCAACATGATACACAGGTGCAGAGTAGTATTCTTGATTGCAGTTAGCAAGCTGAACTAGAAATCATTCAGATTCAAGAAGTAAAGACACGTTCTTGGGAAGATGTGGTCTTTGTTCTCACTTTGTTTAGAACTCACGACCTGAGATCAAAACCTGACTGAGATCAAGACCCAGGCCAAGATCAAGAGTCAGGCACTAAAAGCACTAAGCTACCCAAGCGTCCTCTAACTCTACCTGTGAACAGCCTCCTAGAACAAGAGCAGTGGTGTGTGAGTTATTATTAGAGGTTGACTTGAAATTATAACTTAGTTCTGATAAAAAGTAGATGACTTTTAACCCACTTTCCATGAAATAATCCCAAGGGCTTTCTTTGCAAAGCAGGAATTGCTTCAATTTGGAGGCAATTTTTGTTAGCCTCCTTCAGGAAAAGGTTCAGTAGCCCAGACACACTCAAATAAAGCAACTGAATTAAACATGATGGCAGTTTTCTAGGAGCAACTATGAAAGCATAACAAATGTTTGTGTATTCAGAGAAGTCCGTCCATAACACTTAATACTACACTCAGATGTTCCTTTCTTCCATGACATAGGTTTGTGAACAAGACAAACTGAAAAACATTCCACTATTTTACTTCACAGATATTGCCCACATCATAGAGAAAAATGCCGGAGTATCTCTATTTTGTTACACATGCATATTTAATGGAAAAGTTATTTTTATTCTTGGAAAAAATATTTGTTTGGCAAAAACCAAAACACAATACTTCCTAAGTCTCTCTTCGTGGTTGACTATCTTCATCTAAAATAACAATAATGCCTTTAAAGATTTTCAAATAGAGAGCTGCCCCATGGGACAGGTTGTTGATAGCTATAATCCTTAAGAGCATCAACATTGGATAGAAAAAAGCAGATTAAGCAGCCAATACTTTAAGACATCTAGAGGCAACTTGAGAGGCTTTATGATTAATAGATACTAGTTTTTTAAGAAACGAGGCAAATATCCAAGAAATGAAATGAGATTAGCATGAAACAGGTAATTTGAAAAAAAAAAAATCAGAAATGGAACTATTTCTCTTTCAAATTAGCTACCCAGAAAATGATTACTAGATGTTTTCTTCACACTAGATGGCTTTTCCTGTGAGGATACCCCATGGCATACTTACCTTTGGAGCAGAAAGGCCCTGTATACGCAGAGAAGGTGCAGTCACAAGAGAACCCACTGAGCTTTTCTCTGCATTTGCCTCCATTCTGACACAACTTTCCGTAGCTGCTGCAGTGCCCTCTGCAACCCGGCTCCACTCCGGGAGTCACCTTAGCTCTTTCTTCCAGGTCCAGCGACATTCCGTTCAGCTGCAGAGACCGAATGCAGCCCAGAAAGCCCCTCTGTCTGGTGGCCGTTCCACCTAAGAGGGAAATACGGTGAATGGAAACATGTTCCTCCATGTTTTATTCAGGATTCAAGACCAGATAAAACTGAGACCTCACAAAGAAGGACCCACGCTGTGGCCTTACAGGGAATGGGCAAAGCCAGAGGAGCCAATAAAATTTGGGGAACACAATTTGTGACAGAATATTGAGAGAATTCAAGAAGATAAGGTGAGAATTCAATATTTTCCCAAGGTTGAATCTGTTACATATTGGTTTTCTTTTTTTTTCTTTAAAGATTTATTTATTTATTTATTTATTTGACAGAGAGATCACAAGCAGGCAGAGAGGCAGGCAGAGAGAGGAGGAAGCAGGCCCCCCGCTGAGCAGAAAGCCCGATGCGGGGCTCGATCCCAGGACTCTGAGACCACGACCTGAGCTGAAGGCAGCGGCTTAACCCACTGAGCCACCCAGGCGCCCCTCACATATTGGTTTTCTAAAAACGATTTATTAAAATGTAAATCGGAGAGGTGGTTTTCTTGTTGTTGTTTTTAGTTTCTTTCAAAGAACAGAATAAGGCTATATCTTAGTCTCATGCAAAATAACAGTAAATGGATTGATAGTCTTATGTAGAAGGTTTTTTTTTTTTGCCCAATTTTAAATCAGCATATATTTGTGGGTAAGTGTGGCTCATTCTTCATACTGAAACCTGATCCTGATGCCGGTGTGCTGTTGACTTATTGAGAATTATGAAACACTCCTTGAGTTCTTCTAATGACTGTGCACCGATGTCGTCTTTGGTCGTTATTCTTCCATCAAAAACAAGGTTACTGAGATTATTTGCGTTTGTCTGCCATACTTCCCAGTGCATTTTTTCTCAATACTGGTCCAGTGTGGATAAATGTAAGCTCAGAAAGATTCTCAGCAAACTGGGGAGAGGGGATTGATGGAGAGACAGTGATGTAGCACTTATTGGCTAATACCTGACAATATGACTTGTCAAGTGACCCCTGAAGAGGTTTACAGTGTCTGAGTGGAATCAGACCCTGCAGTTCTAAGGCAGAGGTTCTCAAACCTTAAGGAATTATGAGTGTCACATGGAAGCCTTCGTAAAGATACAGACTTGCTCCAAGAAATACTGATTCTGTGGGCCCGAAATAAGGACTGGGAATTGAAACAATAAACAATCAACCTGGGACGTGGATCTTATTCAGGCGGTCCCTTGACCCCGCATTTTATCAGCACAATCCTGATAAGCATGTAAGCTCGAAGAGGACCTTCACCACGTGTCCAGAACACCATACGTTAAATACTCAGAACCTGAAGTGGGAAAGTAGTACCCTAATCTAAATAGTCCAGACAATTCTACTCAGAGGCGTCAGACGGACATGGGTCCTCTAAAACAGAGCTTTGTCGCTGAACAGATGATACGGTCTCACCTCCAGATCTTAGACCTGCTCTGTACAGACTGTCTCTTCCTAAGACATGCTGGCTCCTCTACCACTTCACGTAGTGCACTCTTCATCTGGCCTACATGGCTTAACATCTTCTTATCCCTCAGAGATTAAACATATTTGGGTTTTTTTTTTAAACTTCAGAGCCAAGAGTTGGCCATAAAGACCCTACATAAATAGGCCTTTGTCACCATCCACCAGGTTTTACATTTTACCAACTGAGTTTGTGTATTATCATCATACATCAGCACACAGAACTGTGCCTGACGCAGAAGAGCTGTGCAGTAACTATTTACAATCGTAACTAATTGATCAGCAATTGACATTAGTAACTGATTATTAATAATCAGTTAACACACTGGCTCATTAAATTGGATTATGCCAGGGGCAGGTGGAGGCAGGGTGGGAGCTGGGTGCTTGGTGCTTCAAAGAGAAAACGCTACTGGGCCACACAGGGTAGTCTGGGTCCCTGAGCTTGAGAATGAGGATAAAACCCAAGGAATGTTTCTGAATCCATTAAGTCTACATTTTTGAATAATGAAATACCATGAAGGGAAAACTAAAAGAATTTCTAAGAATTTTGGACTCATTTCACTAATGGTATTTAGAATTCAGATTCATAGACATAAGGGTCCCCATTCAAGCACCTGTACTTAAATTTGTTTATTGAAATTGCTTCAGCTGACATAATTTGTGCCTCTTCTATGATGCAAATACAATGAAGTCATATTTTCTATTTATAAATCCAGATGCAGCACGCTATGGAGCCAGACATAGTCCAATTCCAGTTTACGTAGGCATGGCAGAGAACAAGGAGTTCATCTCATCCCAGAGTCTCAGAATAGCTGACAATATTCTTGTTTCCTTCCTCCTACATCTACTCTGTCCCCTTCCATTCCAGAAGTCTCTCTTCTCCCCTTATTCTCAGGACCCTTCTTTTCCTGCCACATCTAAACTGCTACTCACCTTAGCTTCAGGCCTCCCTATTCTCACACTCTGCCAACTCACCTCAATAGAATATCGAGAGCTCAGAGTTAAGACTTTGACCAAATTCTCTTAGCGTCCTTGCTGGAGTTTTCTTTGTTGGGTAAGGAAGCCCACAGCCTTGCTTTTAGCTTTGGCCCGGAAACTCTTTGGAAGAGGGCCAGGGGCTGGAAAGACTGAATTACAGGTGGATTCCTGGTGTATTTCATTTATTTCATGTTATAGTACTTTAAATCATGATATATCATGATTTAAAATAACGTTATCATCATGTAACAGTAATGTTATATCATGGCCTGGTAAGCATTTATCACTCTGAAGCAGCAAGTCTCTCTGCTTTAGGAGTTGAACTCCCTTTGCCAGTGACATCATAGTAACTAAATAACATGGGGGTCCAACAGCTGAATACAATTCCTTTTTATCTGCCCCAGCTTGTTTATTCTTATTTATTTTCTTTGTTCTAGACGATGAGGAGCTAGAGGCATAGGAAATTCCAGAGACAAGCCCATGGGCACAGCTGAGGAAATATTAAAATAAACCCACTCAATTACAGGCAGGAAAGGGCGAGAACCTACAGTGGGCTTTTTATTGCAAAGTGTGTCTCCACACCAAAATATGGTCAAAAAAGATCATTTTCATTTTCTTCTATTCCTTAGATCATTTTGGGTTGAACAGCATTTCAGTTCTAGAAGCTCTACTTTGGAGCTCTTCGCCGGGCACAGTGTCTGACATGAGAGGTACAGAATTACATTGATGTGCCCTCATAGAGCCCATGGTCTAGTGGTAGACTTGGACAGGGAAACCATGATGTTAATGGCAGAAACAGGTACCTGGTAGACAAGAAGTTTAGAGGCTGGGGATATTAACAGGAAAAAAAAAAAAACCCACATACATGTATGAAAAACATATATTTGTAATAGTGAGAAGAAAATAAAAACCCAGCCTTGCAAACAGGATTTCTGAATTGTGTACTTGTGAAGAATTAATGTTTACCTAATCAGATAGGGTATTTTTAAAAAGATTTTATTTATTTGAGAGAGAGAGCGCATGAGAGAGCATGAGTGGGGAGAGGGGAGCAGAGAGAGGGGGCAGGAAGCAGACTCCCCACTGAGCAGACAGCCCGACATGGGGCTCAATCCCAGGACCCAGAGATCATGACCTGAGCCGAAGGTAGACGCTTAACTGACTGAGCCACCCAGGCACTCCTTTAGTCAAATAGCTTTAAACTACACTTTTTAAATATTCAGGGAAAATGTCTAATTAAACATAAACATATGTGTCATACATGTGTTGAGGATTTTTGCTTTTCCATTAGGTTTCAAGTTAATAACTTCTTATTTTAAGAAGAACCATCCTGGAGAACACAGCCAGTGTAAATAGTATTCAGCTTGAAAGCTTAATTAAAGATTCCAACGACTTTTCGGGGTTAGAGTAGGTCCAATTAAAATGAGCTGCAGTTTGGTTAATTGATTCTGGATGTTTCCACTGGGCTATTATGTTTGGAACTGTCTTCCAATTAATTTCCTATCAATTTACCTGCCATGCTATATCAGATATAATGAATTCTGGAACTTTACAACCACTAGGTATCCTGTGAAACTCGTGCCTAACCTTCCTACATGAAGGAATAAAACTAAATCTGTTCACTTACATAACAGTAGCGGGATCTGTACCTAATAGGTGCACTAGGTGATGAACAGAGACTGACTCCAACCCTTTCATCATGTTCATTACTCTCAGGAAGTGAGTCTAAGTGACAGATGCTATTGTCATGAAATATGAGCCGGCTCTTTCCTTTGCCAATTTTTTTTTTTTTTTTTTTTTTTTTGGTTTGTTAGCAGGAACACCTTTAATTTTTTAATGGCAAATTATTTAGGTACTGTGCTTGAATGTTATTGAGGATTAACTGGGAACAACTGTATATTTGCCCAGGGGCCTTAGAAAAGAAAGAAATCGAGATCCCACGTTTCTCTTTAAAATTTGAAGTTATAGAAATGTGTCTGGCAGAGTACAGGGGCTCTCCCTGACCACGGCACTGTGGCAGAGAAAGGCAGCTGAGGCTCTGACCACTGAGAGGAATTTGGAACGGGAAAGTGATAGCCCACGCAGGCTGGGCCCAGGACCAAGTCAGGGGACTGAAGGGAAAAAATGGTCTCCTGTATATTACGTACTGGATCTTTAATCCTGACCTACCCAGCCATCCTTGGGATGGCTTAGCCTCGAAGAAATGGTACATTAACGTACAGAGCTGTGAGACTGGACCCCGGCTATAATTTTGTCATGGAATATTCCTCATTGAGCATAATCCTAGGAGAGTCAAGGGGAGGAGGACTGTTCTCCCTTATGTTCAAAGAACTATTATGGCTGAAAAGGAAGCTAGTGTAGTAAGCAACAGTGTCATAGGGCAGAAAATGCTGGCACTGGTCCCTGAATCAAAGTCAGTGGTGAAAACAGGCCCTCGTGGTACTCCCAGCAGAAAAATGTGGGTCTACTTCGTTTACTCACATGCCAAGGCCACAGCACCTCTCTGGTTTGACCTCCTAAGGCATATTTTAAAGAAATGAACTGCCGGTGGTATGAGTCATAGTCTCTGCTCCTAA